GCCGGCCGCCGCGCCGCCGTTGCCGCCGCCGCCGGCCGAGGCGGCCGCAGCGGCCGCCGCCTCTGCGCGCTCGGCCTCGACCTCCGCTAACTCCTCCAACACCGCCAGATCCTTCATATTCGGCACCTGCACCTCGATGTCGGCCCTCTGAAGCAGCTGCTGGCTGATCTCCAGCAGCCCCTTGAGCGCGCGCTCGCGCGCGCGGCGCAGCGTGCGGCGCTGGCGCGCGTTGAGGCGCGGCTGGCCGTCGGGGCCGATCTTGGGCTCGGAGTTTTTCCGGGCCTTGAAGCGCGCCGCGGCGCTGCGGGTAGGGGGGCCAGGATGAGGATTGGCGGGGGCAGGTGGAGAGTTGCGAGGTGAGCTGGGTGGCTGTGAGAGACGGCGTGTTCGCATATGCATGCTTGTGTGCGTACACGTCTGCGTGTGTGGTGACGAACGCAGGCGTCGGGGTGGCAGCGTCGGAAAAGTTGTTCACATCGACGACAGCAGTCAGGCGACTGCGCGCCCAGGCAGGTGGGGGCGCGTACGGCCGCCGCGCGAGGGCGCCTGCAACCGCCCGCGGCCTGTCCTGTGCGGCTGCGACACCCCCCCATACACACACCTAGGCCTCGGTTGCTGCGCCTGCTGCATCAGCTGTAGGGGGTCCAAGTGGCCCCCAAGGGTGCTGAGGTCAGCGCTGTGCGCCACGCGCAGCCGCCCCATCTGCGCCGCGAGTGGCATGCCGCTGACCGCGTTGGCGGCCGCCACGCTGAGCGCCGCCGCCGCGGCCGCCTGCTGCTGCGCCTGCAGGTGCTGCTGCTGAGCGTGCAGCATGCTGGCCGCCTGCTGCGCCTGCGCCTGGGCCTGGGCCTGCGCCTGTGCGTGCGCGGCGACGGCGGCGCCCAGCGGGCCGGACAGGCCGTGGCCGAGCAGCCCGCTCGAGGCCGCGGCGGTCAGCTGCTGCTCCAGCGCCGCGCGCTGCTCCAGGTGGCGCGCGAACGAGCTCGCCGCCGCCGCATCGCGGTACGCGGCCGCCTCCAGCGCCGCGGCGGAGGTGAAGGACTGGAGGTAGGGGGGCAGCCCGCTCGCCGCACCGCCAAAGGCGCTGTTGAGGCTCTGCTGCTGTTGGTGGTGCACGGCCGCAGCCGCCGCGGCCATCGCGGCCGCGTGCTGCGACAGCGCGCCGCCCAGCGGGGGCGGCAGGGCGCCACCGCCCGCGCCGCCGCCGCCCCCGCCGCCGGCACCATAGTAGTACGGCGGCAGCTGCGCGGCAGCCGCGGCGTCGCTGGCAGCCTGGAGGCCGCCGGGCATGCCGAGCGCGGCCACGGCCGCGGCGGCCGCGGCTGCGGCGGCGGCGGGGGCCCCCAGGGGTGGGAGCCCTGCAGAGCTGCCAAAGTAGCCGGTGTCCGAGGAAGAGCTGTGCACGGCCAGCCCCCCGTGGTGGCTGCTGCCGCTGCTGTGCTGCCCTGCGTTGCTGGGGTGGCTGCTGCTGAACAGCGAGGCGCCGAGCATCATCTCCGACGCTGTCAGGGGGCTGGTGGCTAGCTCGCCGGGCGACCCGGGGCTGCGGTGCAGTATGCCGTTGCCGCTGCCGCTGCTGCGGCTCATATCGCCGACCACGTCGGCCGCCGTGCACAGCGAGCCCGTCCTGCCTAGGGACCCATACCCCGGCACCATCGGCTCCATCATGAAGGGTGAGTAGGGAGCCAACCCAGCCATAGGAGAGCCGGACATCATCATGCTGCGAGCGCCCGAGCCCGGGGAGCCATATTTTCACGAGGCCTGTGATCCAAGCTGGGCCGTCCCGCTGCGTCCTGCGGGCAAGGGGAGCGCCCGCAGGCCGGGCCAGGAGGGGACCGCGTCAAAGGGGGCATCGACGGTGCCAGGGACCGTCGTTTTGGGGACTGTGTCGGGAGAAGCCACGAGTGTGCAGACGGGTGAGACGTACGCTGCACCGGTGCGCCCCGCACGCATGCCGGAGATACAGAGTTCGCTAAGGCGCAGGCTCTTAGAGGGTCCCTGAGCCGTGTGGGGCCCTGGCGGGCCCGCTCACCACACCGGTGCCGAACACTCACCCGAAAACGCAAGGATGGCAGAGAGAGCTGCGAAATAATCCCGGGTCATGCGTTGTCACGCCTTTCCGGCGGAGCAGGGGCAGCAGGAGGCAGGCGCGACGAGATTGCTGTGGCAGACGAGCGGGCGAACCAACTCCCGATACAAGTAAGCAAATGACGGATCAGACGAAAAGCTGCCAAATAATACTAGTGGTTTGACACGAGCAACTGTGATGGGTCCGTGGGCCGCCGCAGCGGTCATGTCAAAATTTGAATTGGCTTCCAAGGCTCTGGAATCAGGTGGCAGCGCTATATGTTGCCACTGCTCATAAGGAGGCGGTGTAGGTTGTCATGGGTCCCCTCTTTTGGATAGGGGTAACAAGACACAATGCGCAGCAGCGACATTTCATGTGAGCAGCACCAATGTGTGTCACTCACAGCGATCCCATCATTTTGTTTACAAGCTGTTGTCTGTGAGTCGTGCAGCCGCGCAGGCAATGCAGTACACCCCTGCCGCGGAGTGGGCGGACTGTACGCACATCTTCGCCTGTCGGGCGCTTGTCAGTGGTGCCCCTGCGATGCTGTCGTCAATACTGCATCACGCATGCTGGGTCATGAACGCCGCCTGGGATGGCCGGCCCGATACAAGGAATACGATATCGTGTATGCCCAACGCCACAACTCCAGCCGCCTGGGTCACTTTTCATGCAGTGGTGAGCACTTGCCCGCCCCATGGCGTACGGGTCCTGAATCAGGCGCCTGGGCCCGTGGCTGCGGCCGCCGCCGCCTCCAGTGCATCCGTCCTGTCAGACACGCCCTCCAAGAAACCCAGCAAGTCGCAACGCGCCAGCGCCGCGTCCCCGTTGACCGCTGCCATGAGCGCCGCTGCGTCTACGCCCGCGCCGCTCGCCGCTCCCGCCAGGCGCAGCCCCTCGCCGCCGCCAGCCACGAGCCGCGGCCAGTCGGCGGGCACCGCGACCTGCACCCTGAGCCCTGGCCACGACGGCAGCGATGCCTCGAGCACCCTGCCGCCCGCGCCATGCTGCTGTTGCTGCTGCTGCTGCTGCTGCTGCTGCTGCTGCTCGATGCGCACAATGGGGAAGCGCTCCGCGGCCGCCTCGACCAGGGCCTGCAGGGACCAATACTGCAGCAGGCGCAGCTGCACCTGCCCAACCTGCGCGGGCGCCAGGGGGCAGCGCAACAGTGCGAGGCGGTGGTGCGAAGAGGGTGCGGAAGTTGTGGTGGCCGGGGGCACCCGGCTGAAGCAACCCCAATGTTGAGGCCGCCAGAATCCAGGGCCAAACACACCGCAAGAAGCGCCAGGGGACAAGGGCAGTGCGCCTGGGCCCATCAGGGCGGATGCCACTCACCACCGTGCGCACGCCGCCGCCGCCGCTGGCCATCGCCGCCGCCACCACGTCGTCAATCGGCACTGTGGCAGGCGCCAGCCGTGCGGACGCAAGCGCAGCGCCGCCCGGGCGCAGCTGCAGCGCCAGCTCGTGGCGCTGCTCCCTGAGGGGGGCGTCTGTTGAGCACAGAGGGAAAGGGCGAAAGCGGGCGTGATGGGATGAAAGTTGACATCATCAAGGTGTGGGGGGAGTGCTGCGCAGGGGTGGCTGGTGTTTGGTCCTCCAGGATCAGCATGTTGGCGTAAACGGAGATTGGATAGATGCAGTAACCTGGATCACCAAGGCAACAGCCCGTTTTCAGCCGCACGGCGGGCGGACAAGCCGCCCTTTGCGCTGCGCGTCCCACGCACCTGCCGCCAGGCTTGTCGGCACGCGGCAGGTGATCAGCACGACCAGTCTGTCCGGTTCAATGGAAGAGATCCCGACGCCGCCCAGCGACTCTACGGCTGCAGCGGCCGCCTCGGCCCACTTGGCGGCGCGCGACAGATGGGCGCCGGCGCCGGCGGTGCGCGCGCTCTCGGCTTGCAGCGACGACACGCGCGCCACCTGTCGCGCAGGTGGCAAATAAATGTGGTCATGCACAGTCGTCAGCAACCCTCTTGAGCGCAGCCTTGCCTCTCCTTGTTGGTTTGCAGGGCCCAAGGCCCAGCAGCATTCACTGCAGCGTATGTAAGAGCATTCACAGGCGCAGCACTGGCATGGGCCGTCCATGCCGCACCTCCTCCTGGAGGGCCGCCAGCTCCTGGTTGCCGCCCCGCACCGCAGGCTCCGCCTCGTGGATGACCGCCTGGGAGCAGCGGGAGGCGCCAGGAGGGGCGGCGCAGCTTGGCCCAGTGCGGCTGTCACCGCACACACAGTTGCGGGCATCTTGCCTGGGAGGGCGCACGAGGGTTGACTGCTGTGACGGCCCGGCGTGCGAGCAGCGCGCGCCTACCTCGCTGCTGGCTATGGCCGCCTCCAGCCGCTTGGCGCGCGCCATCTCGTCCTGCAGCAGCTTGTCACACATCGCCTTTCGAGTGCAGCAGGCGTGGGGAGCAGCCGGGGCGAGAGGAGGACAGCAAGGTGTAAGAAACGAGATCATTCGCTTGGCGGTGAGAGCGCTTCGTGTGCAGGCACGCTTGAATGGAACTGACACAGCCCATTTAGCAGGCTGTGGCACCAGCATGCCCACCGCACTCACTCACCTGGTCAGGGCCTTGCGCCAGGGGCTCCAGCGGAGGCGGTCTGCCAGTGTTATGACGGATTGGAGCGGGGGGATCAGCAGGTGCAATCGCAGGCAACCCACCTGGTTCAGCAGCAATGACAGCTGCATCGCAGACTGCGAGTTCAGCGGCAATTGCAGCTGCATTGCAGACTCCTAAGTCAGCGGCAACAGCAGCTGCATCGCAGACGTGTCAGCTCTCAGCCCAGAGCACACCGTGCCGCATCAAATTGCTGCAGAGTTCGCTCCAAACTGTCCAGCTGGGCCGCCACATCACCCATGACCTGGACGCGGGCGCGGGTCGTGTGCGTGTGTGGATGCAACCACTGCAGCCACAACACTGTGCCCTGAGGATGATGCGACTTGCGCACAAGGTTCACGGGGGCGACATATGTTGATGTACATACTTCTCCCACGGGCCTACCGCCATGTGTCCTGTAGATGCTGCTTTTGAATGACACATTGTGCCCGCACGCACCTGCTCAAACTGCTGGTGCATGGTGGCAATCTGTGCTGATGTGTCCTGCAGGGTTGACCTGGCCTGCGCAATGAGGGTTGAGCAGCATGCGTTGCTTTCGGCAGCTGCCGTGTTGCGCAACGCAGCTGGCGCGTTGCTGTGGCTCCCAGTGATGCGGCTGCGTCCTCACTGTGGCGCCACCGCCACCGGCTTGTGCTGGGCGTGCCCTGGCCCCATCGATTCGCCGCCCGATGGATGCACCTGTGTGTTCTGGTCCTTCAATGCCCGCAGCGAATCGGCATCCTGCTGCAGCTGCTCCTCCAGGCCTTTGTGGGTGTTCTCCAATGTGGAGACATCCAATGTGCCATCGCGCAAGCCTGGGTACAAGTAGTGCAGAAGCGCGTGTTGACATTGTTGTTGCCAGGTGCGCTGGTGCCAAGGCTGTCACGCAGCACTGAGGCGCATCGGCAGCGTCACCATACCGCTCACTCTGCATGAAGCGCTCCTTCAAATCCACATTGACGTAAGAAGCCTTGGTAGCATTGAACTTGCGCTGCAGGCGCTTGAGGTCGTTGTCGCCCGCTCCATTGTCGACGGCCACTCGTGCCTCTTGCAGCTTGCCCTGAGCACGCTGGCGCGTGTCTCCGGAAAGCTCCTGCTGCGCTCTGCATGGCCAAATTATTATTCAGTGTGCTGAGGTTCCCGCGGGGTTGCGATCTTGCTTTTACACAGAGCCCAGCCCACCTGCGCAGGTCCTGAACCGCCTGATGCAGCTCCCCCATCTGGCTTAATCCACCTGTGTGCTCGTTGAAGCTGAGGCGCTTGGCGAGGCGCTCCACGTCGGCCATCGTTTTCAAATATGTGTGCTAGTCTGTTGGCATTTGTGTCCACCGCGGCTGCACTCAAGTGATATTGACACAATGCACGGGAAGCCATGGCTGCACAAGGGGCCGCTCTGCCATTGGTGGTCGGGGAAGCCGGCTCGCAGCTGTCCGTCATTCAAATGTGGAGCAAGGACGGCATTTCCTAAGCGTGCCTGGAGAGGTACAGTGGTCTGCTCAGTACAGCGCCTGCTGAGCTAGCGTACTTTGACAGCCTACCCCATCATTCTGATGTGGCTGTGCCGCACGCAGCGACGCGTGTGTGAACGCTCCGACTACTGCGGCGTGCAGGTGAGTGCCTCACCAAACAAACCGGGGCAACAGTTTTGGCATTGATCGGCCACCTCAGGTCTGTTGAATGTGAAACAGGAGTTACAGCAGACCCATGGCTGATCAATGTCCCATGTACAAGCGATAGCTGCCCTGCGCTGAAAAGAACATCATCCTGCAACATCGTACACGTCAATCTTGGGGCAAAAATAGCCACAACACCATATCTGACACCGCCGGCGGCACTGCTTCACAGATGAGCCCAGCCTTCACCAAAACAAAAGGGGAAAAGGTCAATGAAGAAGACGGACCGCTAAGGGTGCAAATGTCAACGCAAACTGGGGTGCTACCCTCGCCGCTGCCGCTTGCCGCCGTCGCCGCCCCTGCCGGCGCCGCCGCCGCCTCTGCCGCCGCCGCCGCCCCGCCCGCCGCCGCTCCCCCTGCCGCCGCGCCCGCTCTTGGCCCGCACGCTCGCGAAGCTGCTGCCCTTGGCCGCCTGGCGCCGCTTCTTATCCTCGAACTTGCGCTTCCTCCCCGCCGCCTTCTTTTCGTTGCGCTTCAGCTTCGCCCGCGCCGCCGCCTCCGGGTCCACCATCGCGCGCAGCGCGCCGCCGCGCTTGCGCGCCGCGCGCGCCGCGCGCACCGACTCGCGCGCGGTGTTGTACGCGGCGAGCATCGCGTCGGCGCCGAACGCGTCGCGCAGGTGTGCGAGCACCTCCTCCCCCAGCGTGCGCACCTCCTCCGGCGCCGCGACCCACCCGGCACGCCCGCTGCCAGCCGCGGCGGCCTCGGAGATGCGGTAGAGCGGCCGCAGCATCAGCGGCAGGTGCCCCGCGAGCCGCGGCGGCCCGACCGCCGTCGCGGCGGCCGCGAGCCAGCGCAGTGCGGCAAGGCGCTGCGCGCGGCGGGCGACGCGCCGGTCCTCCGCGAGGCGCGCCATGCGCAGGACGAGGCCGCGGAGGGTCACCGCGCGCGGGCCCTCGCCGCGGCGGCGCGCGCGCCGCTCCTCGCGCTGCGCGGCCGCCACCGCCTCCTCCTCCTCGTCGCCGCTGCCCTCCGCCTCCCCCAAACCCTCCTCGTCCTCCTCCTCCTCCTCCTCCTCTTCCTCCTCCCCTTCCTCCCCGCCTTCCTGCTGCTGCGGCTGCTGCACTCTCGCTCCCTCGCCCTCCTCCTCCTCCTCACTGCCGCTCCCGCCCGCGGCCCCGTTGCCCACCAGCGCCCCCTCCTCCTCCTCCTCCTCCTCCTCCCTCCCAACATCGCCGCCTCCGCCCACCGCCGCCCCGCCCTCCTCGCCCCCTTGCGCCTCCTCGTCTGCCAGCGCCACCGCCAGCGCCACCAGGCACTTGACCGCCTGCAGGCACAGGGCGTCGTCCACAACGTCCGCTTCCAATTGGATGTAAAACGACAGCGCCAGCTCGCCTGCAGTAGTGCCACGCCAGCCAGATGTGTCGCCGGCGGCGTCCGCGGGCGCCTCGGCCGCTGCTGCTGCCGCTGCTTCTGCAGCGGCGGCGCCGCCCAGCAGGCCGGCGCGGAGGCCGGGGTCGGCGAGCGCCGCGCCGACGAGCCGCCCCGCCGCCTTGCGCACCCACAGGTGCGGGTGGAGCAGCGCGCCGGCGGCGGCCGCCCACGCGCGCCGCGCGTCGGGGCCGCGGTCCCAGCCTAGGGGCCCCAGGCCCGCGGCGCCCACAGCTTTCTCCAGGAGCAGCAGTATGTGGTAAGCCTCCTGCCACCGCGGCACGCCATCGCCCGAGCCGCCGCCGCCGCCGCCGTCGGCGGCTGCCTCCTCGGATTCCGCAAGCTCCGCCGCGGCGCAGCACTCGCGCAGCAGCTGGGCAGCTTCCCCCAGCAGCCACCCGCCGTTGCCGCCGCCGCCGTCCGCCTCGAGCCGCCGGCCAAACTTGGATTGCTCCGCCTCTGCTAGCAGCCCCAGCGCCTGCGCCGCCGCGCGCCGTGTTGGGCCGCCGGCGCCGGCCAGCCACTTCTGGCAGTAACCCGCGAGGCCGTCGTTGGCTGTGGTGCCCAGCTGCTGGTGCAGCAGCTTCACGGCGGCTGCCACCTGGGCGCGGCACTTGGGGCTCGACTCGTTGGCGAGGCGGGCGACGAGCGGCAGGTAGATGACGTCAGCAAGGCGGGTGGTGACGTCAGCAGGGAACTTGACCAGGATCTGTGTTAGTGCAAGGGGGGGTTAGGGCGTTGAGGGGCGAGGTAGGAGAGAGGGGGTGGGTGTGGTGCAATGCAGGGCAGGGAACATGGGGGCATGATTTTATCAAGAACAAGCACTGTCACTGACACAACACAAATGAGTCTGCTGACTCCGCTCCTGCCGGTGCTGAAGCTCCGATACTGGTGGCACGCCCGTGACCGCGAGACGTGCGCGCCTCAAAAGCCACCCCAGAGCAGCACGGCCCCCGCCGCCGCGCGCGGCGCGCGGCGGCGCAGGATCGGGGCTTGGCCAGCAGGCGCACCTGCTGCAGCAACTCCAGGGCCTGCAGCCGCCCGGTCTCGTGCTCGTAGGCTGTGTTGGCCAGCAGGAACTGCAGGTGGCCCTGCAGGCGGCCGGAGCCCAGCGGGTAGTCCAGCAGGAACTGCAGCAGCGCCGCCGCGGCCGCGGCGCGGGACGGGGCGGCGTGGCTCCTGAGGGGCGGGCGGGCGCGCGGGTGCGCGGCGGGGAGGGAGCGATGAGATGTTGGAAGTGCATCTGGGCGCCGCTTCCTCAAACACTTTCATGGTCAATCATGTACATTGCACATTGCACGGAAGATGATTGAGCAAGCACCCCCATTGGCAGGTTTGGCCAATTCAGTCGTCAGCAATGGCACTTCATACCAGATCGCCAGATCAGATCATTGGATCAGGTAATCCCAGATCCCACGCACCTGATCATGACCTCCTGGACCTTGTCCATCGCGTCGTACACCTCCGGCGCCATCAGCCGCCGCCCCAGCACCGCCCTCAGCAGCCCGAACGCGGCGCCCTTGTCGGCGGCGCCGGCGCCCAGGTCTGTGGCCACCCAGCGCATGAGGAAGCGCAGTTGGGGCGTGGAGGGCTGGTAGGACGGGCACTGGCGCAGCAGGCCTGGGGGAGGGGATGGAGGGAGACGCGCGCGCAAGGGCGGCGCGTGTGAAGAGGAGGGTGCGTAAGACGGGGGTGCTGGAGGAGTGAGATTTGTGATGCATGAGGTGCAGGCGACATTACCGACGCATGTGGGAGGCCGCAAGGGAGGAACACAGGGAAGGAAGGCCGCATGATAAGCAGAGTGAATACAGAGGGAGACGAAGGGCGAGGAGGAGGCGACAGCGGAGGGGGCCGGCCCGGCCCTCACCGGCCAGCAGCCGGAAGCAGTCCTGCGCCACGGGGTGGCTCGCGTCCGGCGCCTTCTTGAGCAGCGCCGTCAGCGCCTTGCCCGCCGCCGGCGCCGCGGCTGTCATGCCGGGCAGTGGGAGCGCGACGAGCGCCGACAGCTGGCGCAGCGCGAGGGCGACGGACGCGGAGCTGCGGCCTGCGGGGGTGGGGTTGGAGGGCGCCGCCGCAGGAGTCGCCGTCAGCGCCATGCAACATGCAGGCTCATGGTTTAGGGGGGGGGCGCATCCCACAGGTCGGATGGCTTGACCAGCGGCCCCGCCGCCGCTGCATGCGTCACAAGGCAGTTGGGTTCGTCTGGATGCCCCGCTGCGGCGCCGAACCAGCGCCAAGCAGCACACCAAAAGATAAGACCAATATCAATCCTGTTGTAGGTCAAGTCATGTTTCCACTACAATACGCTCCACAAAGGGGAGGGGGCAGGCAGGGCCGCGCGACCGCCGCCTCACCTGCCAGCGCGCGCACTAGCAGCGGCAGCAGCGGGTCCACCAGCTCAAGGGTGGCGGGGTCACGCCCGCTCAGCGCGCCGCGTGGCGGCCGCAGCGCGCCCTTGAGGCGGGGGCGAGGGGAGAGGGGTGCAGTGCGTTTGAGGAGTGGAGCTTCAAGTCACGCTCGACGTTTGCAGGGTGGGGTCAAACCGGTGCTGGCAGCAGGTAAAGTTGACGCGTAAGCGCTGCAGCGGGCAGGCGACAGGCCTGCGCAGCTGATCGCCGGCTTGGCCTGCGCGGGGCGCTCAACCGGCAGCGCTGCTGTTACGCAGCGCCGTGCTGACATCACACAGCGGCATGTCTTAAGAGGGTTGAGTGCCCCGCGGCCCCACCTGGAGGATGGTGAGGCCGAACTCTGTCAGCAGATGCTCGTGCAGGGCAGCGCGCTCCTCTGGAGACTGCGGGGATGCCTTGTCTGGCGTTTTGAGGACCGCGAGGGGTGTGAGAGTGTGTTCAGGAGTGTGTGTTTAGGAGTGTGTGTTCACGAGTGTGCATGTGTGTGTGTGCGCGTGCGCGTGCGCGTGCGCGTGCATGTGTGTGTGTGTGTGTGTGTGTATGTGCGCCCGCGCGTGTGCGTGTGCGTGTGTGTGCGTGCGCGCGCGTTTCGGAGTGTGTGTGGGTGGGTGGGTGTGCGTTTAAGAGTGTGTGTGTGTGTGTGTGTCCGTGGTGGCAGATGAGGAGATGGTGTTGTACAAGAGGTGTGCAGTCACGCGCTGTGTGGCGAGAGCGAAAATCACCCGGGAACGCCCCAGGTCTCAGTGTCAGACGCCGCAGCACGCCGTGCGAGGGGCCGGCCAAGAAGCGGCATGCGGCCCGTTGGCGGGTCCGAGCATCTTTGTAGGCTGCAAGCTTCCCTGGCCCTGAAGTCGTGCAAGCAGACACCCTCCACTCAAAAAACACCCACCCTTGGCCGCCACGGAGTTGGCAGCCGCCACCGCTTCCTTCGCCCACGCCCGCGCCGCCTCCTCCCGCGCCACGCAGCCCTCCAGCAGCGCCCCAAGAAACGAAGCCAGCTCAGCGCCCGTCGCCGTCGGGTTTGCCGCGACGCCGCGCGCCGCGTGCTGCAGCAGCTGCGACAGCTTGCCCCGTATGACCGGGCTGCTCGCCGCGGGCAGCTTCTCGCGCACGAGGGCGAGCAGCTGCTCCATGGAAGCTGGGGAGAACGTGATGGAGCTGGCGAGAAGCTGGTAGGCCTCGTAGGCGCGGCACTTTTTGGCCTCCTTGTAGTTTGATGAGAAGTTGGTGGCCTCTTTAGCCTCAGACACCTGTATATGGGTGAATTTGGGGCGAGGGCGGCGCAACGCCAAGAGACAAGGATGAGGTGGAGTGCTGAGGGCGAGGGTGCACAACAACAGGCATGCTGCGGGGGAGTCACCAGGCTGACAGTCCAGCCAGGGGGACCTGGTACGGGCCAAGAGCGCCACGCGGCTGAGGGTGAGGTTGGGCAACAAACCCCGAGTCAAGGCGCGGTCCTGCCCCTGCTGCGTGCAGAGGCGCGCGACTCCGTCGCTCAGGCGGGCGGCGGCGTCTGCAGGTCCCCAGCTTGTGGCAGAGCCGTCGAGATGTTCAGCATGCATTCAAACATGACCAAGACGTGCGTGCGGCCGCCCCACCTGGCCGAAGAGGTCGTTCTCGATGAGCGGCAGGATGAGCGCCACGCTGCCGTCCAGGTGGCCGTGAACTTCGCAGCGGGAAGCCAGGGCGTCGAGCACCGCGGTGACCGTGAAGCCGATGACGTGGGCGGTGAAGCCCTTGTCTGGAAGGCATGCGCGCAGGACGCTGCGGGGGCAGAAGAGGGGGGGGG